TCTTAGATTAAACACCCGATAGGCTCGACTATTCATGGAATATCCCACGAACATTGCTTCATCGGCTTTGGAATCAAACTTTCCCAAGGAATTCCTATCCTTCAACACATAACATCTGCAACCAAAGATTCGAAAGTGGCTCACAATGGGTTTTTTATTTTTCAATATCTCGTATGATGTGGTAGACGTGTGAGGCCTACAGAACACTCGATTGATGATGTGACATGCAGTGTTTATTGTTTTTGCCCATAATTTCTTAGGAGCTGCTCGTTCATGCATCATGCTTCTTTCTGTCTCTTGAAGTGATAGATTCTTTCTTTCGACGACAGCTGCAAACTTATGTATGATCCCATTCTCACTGCAAAAACTTTCAAACTCTTTATTTTCAGATTTCGTTCCATGGTCACTCCGAATGCGCATAACTTTAGAGCCAACTTCATTCGAGACCTGCTTGGACTGAATTTTAAACACTTCAAATGTGTCTTCTTTCTCTCTTAGAAATCTTACCCAAGTAAATCTTGAGTAGTCATCCACAGTAACAAAAATGTATTTCTTTCCGCCGATGCTCTCTATTTCCGTTGGACCCATTAGATCCATATGTAGCAACTCTAAACATCTTCTAGTCGAGCAATTTTCAAGCAGTTTGTGTTCCACCATGTGTTGTTTCCCTTTATAGCAGCCTCCACGTAAGAAGTTTGTAGGTTCTGATAGTTTTGATAGTCCACAAACTGCTCCCAATTTTGTTGATCTTGATCAAATTCGACAGATTAACATGCCCCAACCTAAGATGCCAAAGCGTGACATCTTCCTTTTAGGTTAACAACACTAGCTCTTGTGAGTAATCCAGAGTATAGCAATTGTTTTTGGATTGAATAGCACTCATAAATTTTTTGACCTTTACTTGTAATTGAAATCCATCCTTCGTGAAGATTACTCCCATTCCCTCATCACAAAGTTGACTGATGTTGATGAGATTTGTGCTTAGGTCTGCAACATAGTATACTTTCTGAAGTTCAAGTACACCATCTAGTTTCAATTCTCCATGACCTGTAATTCTTCTTTTAATGTCATCTCTAAACATTACATTCCTACAATCAGCTTCAAGATAGTTAGTGAGAAGTCCTTTCTAATGAGTCATATGCCTCGAGCATCCACTGTCGAAATACCATATTTCACTCTTTTCAACACCTTGAGATGAGAGTGCAACTAAACATCCGTTAGATTTCTTTGGCCTCCATTCAAGTTTATTCAACATCAAGTTCTTAAGAGCTTTTGATGGCCAACGGACTCTTCTTCCTAAATATAGATCTTGAAAAATGCGTTTGCACCTCAGTATTTCATGACCATGCTGTCTGCAATAGTGACAGTTTGCTTGCAGACCAGTCATCCTTCTGACGTTCTGCTTATCTCCTCTTATTTTCAGTTCTTGATTTCTCTTTTTTATGATGCTTCCAAGCTTCTACCTGTAAGCATCCCACCTCTAACAAATGTAGTACGAGATGTTCCAGCACCATAGACATCTAATTACACTGAGATCACCATGTGTCTTTCATAGGCTCAACAATTCATCCTATTTTTCTTTTCCTTTCATCAATTGATGAATTTCTTCCAACAACTTCTCATTTTCACTCTCAAGTAAACTGATTTTCTTCAATTGCTCACTTAACTCCAATGACAGTCTTTCATTATCCTTAGCCAACTCATCATTCATGTTGGTGAGTTGTTCATTTACCTCCATCACTACATTATATTTCCTTTCTAATCAACCAACACATGCCTTTAGATTCTCATTTCAGAATATTCTATTCAGCAATGACTAATTCTTAAGTTTCGATCAGCTCCTGACAGCTCATCTCTGTGTCACCAACTATAGCACTTTTCTCAACTTTCTTATCATCATGCAACTGTGAATGCCACTGCCTCATCTTGTGTCTCCTGCCCTGATTCGGACTCTTCATCACTCCATGTGGCACCCATTGCCTTTTTATCCTTTCTTTTAATTGTTGCACATTCTGATCGAATCTGCTCATATCCATTGCAGCCGTAACAAATTATGTCATCAGGCACTGTGGGTTTCTTGGTCACCTTGAATTTCTTTGAACCAACCCCTTTGTGAGAGTTCTGATATGGACCCTTATTGACTGATTTTGCATAATTCACTCCACCAGCCTGCCCTCTAGTTCCACGAAGTTGTCGAGCTTTTCTATCTTGAAGCATCTTAGACAGCCTTTTTTGAGATTAGTGCAAGTTCATCATCGTCCTTCTCAGTAGTTACTTCTTCTGTCAACAATTCAATCTGCCGTCTGGGGTTCTGCCTGGTATAGTTCATCTCACAGGTTTGCAGAGTTCCAATAAGAGCATTTAGTGACATTGTCTTAGTTTTCTCCATATTTTTAAGAGTGGACACTTTGTTGTAGAACTTCTCCGACACAGTACGCATCATTTTGAATACCAATTTTCTTTCTTCATATGCTAACCCCAAGCTGTGAGCACGACCTAAAACACTCTTGAATCTGTTGTTGTACTCAAATACAGTTTCCTCATCTCTCATCAGTAGGTTATTAAACTCTCTCTCAATCATCTGCAACTTAGACCGCTTGACCTTATCGTCTCCTTCAAATGTCTCACGCAGTGCGTCCCAAGCCTCTTTGGTTGTATTGCACATTGATATGATCTCATACTATGATTGATCAACACCATTTGCAATAGCATTTACAACACTAGAATTTGCATTGCTAAGAGCTTTCTCTTCTGGAGTGTATTGTGTTCGTGGTTTCTCAATAACAGCAGTAGGTTTGATTTGTATCTCATTTGACTCCTCCTTCGATCAAAAGACTATTTGTGGGAGAGTCCACACAGTCAGACCAGAATCCCATGCATCTTTTCCAAGTGTCATAATGAAGATTTTCATTTTCATTTTCAATTGTTGGTAATTCTTTCCATCCAATAGAGAGGGTCTTGTTATCGAGTTGCCTTCATTTCTTGCCATGGATATTGATTTCTTCTCAATGCGTCGAGAATCCCGCTCTGATACCAATTGTTATCCTAGTAATCTTTAAATGCACAACCGCAATTATGTAGAAACAGAAATATGAGTAAACAAATTTCAAACTGTAATGAAGGAGTAACGAAAATGCACCAAGAAATGTTAACCAAATAACGAAAACGCACCAAGAAATATGAGTATACTGAGCATTCAAACAACACACTCTCTCTTTAAGTAGTAACGAAAATGCACCAAGAAATGTTAACCAAGTTCAGTATCACAAGACCTACATCTGGGGAGTTCCAACCCAGGCCATTTCACTCTTCTTCATCAATGGATCAGAGTTACATTCGAGTTGTATCCTATCACTCTATAAGCACACACTCACTAATGCTCTATCCATCGAAGAACATTTTTTCATCTTAGCAAAAACCTCAATGTATATTTCTCAATCACTTACTCACTTGTTACCTCTCACCTATCACACCACAAAATTAGAATCTTTCTGTAAATGTAATTCCCACTTACCCGTCTCCACCAAAAAAATTTGTTATAACAACCTACATATAGGAGAAACGATTTACTAGACCACCACAACTTCCTCATTGAGTTTAATCTTCCTTAGGCTAACTTTTGGGCCAACACTAGGGAATAGGCTTGTAAACATCAAGCAAAACTTGAGCCCATGAGCCCAATCCAGTGACAACAAACTTAACAGAGTCGTGAATATAAATAGGAACAAGTTGAGAACACGGGCATGAATACAACCGTGTTTAAAACAGGCCGTCAATAAAGGCATGAACACCTCATAGGAATATGTTGAGACCACCGGTATAAACACGATCATATTCAATGTCAGGTAATGAACACGACCGTGTTGAATTTTGTCAGCTACCATGGAACGGGACCAAAATTAATAAAAAAAATATTAATAAGATAAAAATTAATAATTATAATATAGAATATAACCAAAAATAATTTTTTCTTATTCACCTATATAACCAAAACTTTCTTTTATCTAATTACCTATTATACCCTTTACATATTTTATTAGAAATTTTATAAAATTTTTCAAAATTTTAATATTTATTTATTTTATTTTTAATTATATCAAATAAATGTTAATATATATTGAAATTATATTATATATTTTGTAATAATTTTAATTAATTTTTTTAATCAAGTTTAATTATAATAATTTTTTAATAAATTACAAATTAGCATATAATTATATCTATAATATTAATATTTTACTTCTTTTTTCTCATGTAATATGAACATATTATTGTAGATACGAGAATTTAGATAAAATATAATTAATAAGTAATTAAGAAGTTTACTAGTAAAAATAATTATTGTAGAGTAAAAATAATTATAAATTAAAACTAAGATAATTAAATAGTTTAATTAATATTAAAAAATTATAACTTATAAAATATAAAATATTTTATAATATACTCCCCGTCCAATTTCTATTGTCCTAAAGTATATTTGCACGGGTTTTTTAGGTGATTCTCATTTTTTTATGAATGAACAAATTTGCCCTTAACTGTATGGCAGAGATTAAAAGTAATAAATTAATGAAAGGTAAAAGTGTAAAATTTGTATTTAAAAAAGGAAATAGAACAATAGTTGTTGGACGTCCCAAATAGAAAAGTAGGACATTAGTTTGTGGACGGAGGGAGTACTTAGTTTATATAATTTTTGTTATAATATTATTATTTATACGTAAAAGTATTGTTTATCTTTATTGGTAAATTTAATAAATAACTAATGTATAAAGCATTTGATTCTTCCAAGACCTAATATGTAATTATTATTTTTATTATATTAGATAAATAAATTTTGTATCACATCTTACAAATAAATAATTCGAATTTTATTAAATACTTTTATTTTTCTTTATTTATATAACACAGTAATAAAATAGTAAAATTTAACACATTCCCCTCTCTTTTATTTAAATCCCTCCCCTCCCTTCCCCTCGTTTGAACCCCTGAGCAGCTGTGTTTTACTTGCAGTAGAACTAGATTTTACACCATGATCATCTCGCCATCAACGACCCACCTGAATCCGCCGCAAATCTTCTTAAATTTCCTTAAAAAAAACTCCATCACACTATTATAATTAATTCCACGAACAACAACTAGCCTAGCTTCTTTCCTTAGTTGCCAAAATTTGAAAATCCGATTCCCCAATCCGTTTCTTTTCAGCCTTGAGATTTCAATTCGGCATGGGCAGGGCAGGGCAGGGCAGGGGTAATTAATTTCAGGTCTTTTTAAAAATACTAGTGTACATCCGCAGCAGCATCTACCTGCTTTTCAACGCCCAGCCTAAATGTTTAAATAATCTCAAGTAGTGAGCTGAGCAGAGCAGAGCTACAGCAGCTTCCTGACTAAATCAACGGCGCACTGTCTCGATCGGGGTCAGAATTTGGAAAATTAAAGGAGACAAAGAGAGAGATAGATTCTTAAATTATCTGCTGTTCTGTGAGGGAGACAGAACGAGATCGATTGGGTTATTTTCATGGTACCACCGTAGAGAAATGATGGATGCTGATGATATGAAGAATCAAAAGGGTGGTGTGAAGAGTGGCGGCAATAAAGAGGGTGGGGAGAGTGATGGTGATGGGGATGACGAAGAATCAAGGGCTCTTTTACATCCCCATTCACCGGAAATTGGGGGCTTAGGGTTAGGGTTTGGGTTAGGGTTAGACCAGTTGCCATTGCCAATGCCAATGCCAAAGAAATCTGATCAGAAGCCAAAGAGGAAAGTTCAATGGTTGGATAAGAATGGGAATGGGGATAAGCTTGCCCAGATCTTGGAGTTTGAGCCAAGGTATTATTTACTAGAACTAGAACTAGAACTACTTTTATGAAATAGTTGTATTTGTTTGCTTGCGGCTTCTTACTCTTATTTAATTCAGTACTACTATTTTGCTCCATCGATGCTTGTTATTGTTTGAAGCTATTTCTCAAGTGGGATCTGATATTTATTTATTTACTATTGATTGGCTTCCTTCCATTCCTATCGAGAATATTTCCTTGTTGCGTGACTGCAGATGTTTTTGTATGATTAATTGGATCTTTAGCTGTACATATTGGGTTGGTTGGTTGGTTGGTTGGATTATTGAATAAAAGTCTCCCATTGTAGAGTATAAATGAGATGAATGTCAGTGTATTTCTGCCTAGGGATTTTTGTTTTTTGCCTAGTTGGGGACATCATAGCGGCAGGTTTGGTTTAAGTTTAGTCCAACTATAATATGTTTGGTAATTTTGCTCCTACTTGTTACGGAAATTTTAATTTGAGGTTAGGCTTCTTGCAATTCAAAAACTTTTTCTGATAATAAGAGGCGGAATTGACAAAAGCAACCTTAGAATATGTCACAATATTTCATTGTATAAACTTCAAATTATTGAAGTATTGGTACCATGTAAGTGATTTTCATCAATTGAAAATTATATATATATGTATATATGTATTGTAGGATTCAATGGGCTACAATTTGGATTTAAACTGAAATTTTAGAGGGAGCCAAACTAATTGTATTATAGCAGCAACATAATTAAAATGAGCTTTTATCATGAACACCCTGGCATTAATGTCTAGTGGTACAATATGGTCGTCTCACTACTCACTCTTTGTAAATTCACTTTCTTTTTTGGGTCCAACTAAAGGATAAATTCTTGCACTGGGATAAAACTACTAATAAAATTCAGTTGATCCCAGAAAATAACTTATACTATTCATTGCATAGGATTAATCATAACAATAAACTTTTGCATCAACGGTGAGCTTATATCTGATCAATGGTTTTTAATTGGTTCATTAAACTAGAGATGCATCCAAGAACCAAGATAGATAACTTGATCTCACTCATAGTGAAGATTGCCTTGATTAGATATCTGTATTCTCGAGCTTGTAGATGCCTTCCTTCCTTCCTTTCAAAATTGTGTGCTGCCAATGTCAACCAGACAACATGTTTCTTAGCAAGAGCTTCTTTAGAGAAAAATGTGTTATAAATGAGATCAGTAATCCTTCATCGAATTCATAACCAAAATGGTAGTTGAATGATTCATAAGATGGCATGGCCCCTGAATCATGATAGCTAGCTCATTTTATGCAAGCTAAATGTTTAGGTTAGCAATTTTGGTCGAGTTTTGTTATATGAAGGCACGCAATTTTGTTCTTATTCACTGTTTTTTGTGTGGCTTGCAGTGACATAAGCGACTCGGATGAGGATGAATCAGACTCTTGCATCTGTACTATAATGTAGATGCCATATTTTATACACCTATTTACTGTCTCTCTCTCTCTCTCTCTCCCTCTCTCAATTGGCAAAATGTGAAGTTAATTTTCTTCCAGCTAAACCATAAAGTTTGCTAGCTTGCTGCCGTCCGGTTATCGTGTTGCTGCATTGCATTCCCTACATATCTAGTTTTACCTTGATAAAGGAAATAGGTTTGAGTTGAAATCAGCCTAAGGAGTGGAGTGATGTGAGTTATAATACTATACTATACAGAAGTCTTGTTGTTGTTTCTCATGACAGGAAGCAGGCGTCGGGTATTTTGATTGACTGTAAATATATTATTACATTACTACGCTAGGGGGAAGTGGATAGGAGGATTAGCAGCTCAATCGATGCTTTTGGTGCTAAGTAAGAATAAATGGTTAGTTATGATGATGCATACATACTGGCATGGGACTGGACTGATTGTTTAGCTTTGCTGTGCATAGCAAAGTGATTCAAAACCACGCCTTGGACTTGGACAGAAAGAAAAATCTCACAAATTGATTAATATATCAATGGTGCCTTCCCTCCCTTTTTTATTTTTGTTTGTTACCATATGCTAGTAGTATTTTCCATATGATTTTGCGTGTCGTTGCATTACATAGACAACTAGCGGTCGCACCATTTGTATAGATTGTTGGAATAATATTAGATAAATAAATTTCTATATTGTTTAACTTCTAAAAAAGATATAAATATTTAGTAGACCAATCAATAATTAATAAAAAAATTACTGACGTATTTATAATATAGAAATGTGCTAAGAAACTATCTTACTAATGTATTATTTTCAGGTCATATATTTAGAGGAAATATTATCTAAAAAGTCAATTATAAATTAAAATTTTGAATAAGTATATAGCACTATATATATATATATATATATATCTTATACTTAGTGCTCGGAGTTGTGCGCTATGTTGCACAATATAATAAAATATTTACTTTATTTTTGTAAAAGTATGATATTTATATTATATTTTGTTAAACGATATATGTGATTTTTTACATTAAAAAGAATGGATATTTTTCATGTCATGAAAACTAATAAATGTGATGAAAGAAATCAAAACGTATTGATTCATTTCATCGACACATTAAATTCTACGCAACCAATTCTTCTTACTAAAAATCCAATTCCAGATCCACTGCGACAAAAAACAAGCACAACTAAAGATGAATGAAAAACGAGCTTGAAATCGAATAAATTATCAAATTGCTACCAAAAATTGGCATGAAGGCGAGATTAAAGGCAAACATATTGATACGTAGTGAAAAAGAAAGAAAGTAATGCACCATGGAGAAAGAGAACATCAGGAAACAACCATCACCGAATTCAACGGATTGATCCTGCATTTAAACTCCGGAATCTTCGAACGGAAGGCATCGTTGTCTCCCTGCTCAGTAATCGGAAACCCACTCGAAGTTGCTGCCGCCTTGTCAAACGTCTTCAATCGAAACCATTTTCTTTCAGAGAAGAAGAAGAACAACAAAGGAATTTACTATGATAAACCATCTCCTCCATCGGTGATCCGCCTTCTCCGCCCTTCCCATTCCATCGGTGATCCTTAGCCTTTTTCATCGGTGATTCTCTCCCTGCAAGGCAGTATCAATTTCTACATTATTAATTTCTACATCAGTGATCTTCCACCTTTCTTCATTGGTAGGTGATCCTTCGTGGAGATACTATCAACTTATCCATTGATCATTTCATCTGCACAATCAACTTATTCATTCGTCGGTGATTCTTTCGTCTTCTCCGATTATCGGTGATCCTTCGTGTACCATGTACAGTTGCCCATTCGGTTTGAAAACTCCAATTCAAATCGCCGGTTTTCCAATCTGAACCGGTTTTTGATTTTGTCAAATCGTGAAATGGCGGTTCGGCGTAGGTGTACAGAGGCAAGTAGGACCGTAGGTGAAAAAGGAGAAGAAAGTAGAAAGAAATGAGACGAGGGATTAAGGGTTCGTTTGTCAATTTATTCACAGCTGATTCAATTAGCTGGTTTGACTAACTGATTCAATTAGCTATTTGTATTAAAGTGTTTGTAAAATAACTGTTTGACATTAGCTAGCTGTTTATATATAAAATTACTGTCAAGGATATTGATACGTTATTTTTTAAAATATTTAATTTTATTTATTTTGATTTAAAAATTATGAAAATTTTTGTTATTAATTATTGAAAATTATAAAAATATTATAAAATATTTATTTTTATTTTTATTTTTATTATTTAGATCTGAGAAAATTATTTTTACTAAAAATTAGTAATTTTTTATTGAAATTATGTAAAATATAAAATAATAAATCTTTTCGTATGTATATTTTTATTATGTTAATTATTGTTTTAATATATATAAATAGATTAATAACCTTTATTTTTTTTATTTGATTTAGTTTTAAAAATTTATATATTTTATAAATAAAATAATTTATATATAATAATTAATAGTAATTATTATTTTAAATTTACAAAAATAAAAATATAATTTAATAAATTAAATATATTAAAAATAATCAATAAATACTGCTATAAAAATATATTTATATGTATAAAATTAATAATTAAGTTTTAAGGGTAAATAAAGAATAACAAAAATTAAAATGAAAAAGCTCTTTCAAAACGCTGGGTAGATGAGCTTTTCAAAAATTAGTTTTTTGAGTCCAAAAAGCTCTTTAAAAAACTAATTTACCAAACACCTAAATTAATTTTTTGACTGGTCAAACAGCTCAAAGCTGTTCAATAAGGTAAAAGCTCTTCAATACGCTGTTTGCCAAACACCCTCTAAGAAGAAGAAAGAGGAGAACCTGGTGCAGGTGCAGTGGCAGTGGCGGTGAATGTGTAGTAATTAGGGCAAAATGATTAATGGTGTATTTTGTAATAATAATAATAATATTTATATTTATATTTAAATTTAATAGTACATTATTAATTTGATATATTATAATAATTATTAATTTTTATTAATATTATTTTTATTGTTATAACAAGTAATAACATAATATTTTTTATATTTTTATTTTAAAATTATTCTATTTTATTTTATATAAACATATTTATGAATGAATTTTTACAGAAAATTCCTATTTTTATTTTTTTTGGCACGTAGCCACACGGATCACAGTATATAAGGTATGGCCATGTCTTATTCTTCTTTCCCCATTTACTTTTTTTTCTTTATTTCCCTCAGACTGCGGTGCTTCCACAGAGTAAGAGGGTGTAGTTTCCAAAGGCCTTTAAATAGTGCTTCATCGACCCTGGGTTGGTAACTTTGTAACATCAATGGAAGACCTCGGCACCTACATGTTCTATATAGAAGGTTCTATAGGTCAAACCAAAAGAAAGAAGAAGACGGATTCCATGTAACTCGAGGCTGTTGGGGGCTTATCCCCGTAGACTGGCTAGGAGTATGATGGAAGCAAGTCAGGGTAAGTTACAGATCTGATCCAAAAGCAATGGAAGAAGTTCTGAGCGAATGGAACCCGGTCCAGAGATAATGGAAGATGTTCAAAATGAATGGAACCCGGTCCAGAAACAATGGAATATGCTCAAAACGAATGAAACCTGGTCCAGAGGCAATGGAAGCGGTTGGGAGCTGATGGAAAAAGGTTACCAGGCGGTTGAGAGTGGTGGAGGAATAATTGGAACTGTCCTTTTTAGGGGAAGAGACGATTATTTTAGCTTAGGATTAAAACTAGGAAAAAAACACAACACACACATGCACAAGAAGATCAAATTGTATATTTTTCTATTTTCTTTTCATGTTTTTAGTTTCATTTTATGCAATTTAATTCAAGTTACATGCTTTTATGCTTCTTTCCATTTATTTTACGTGCTTTCCATAGATTATCTTAGTTTAGTTCGATCAATCGTGTGAGATCTCAGTTACCCAACGACGGATTGGCTCTTTGGAGTACTTCCAGAACCCACACCGATGGAATCAACGAACTATTTTGGAACTTCTGAATTTAAAGTTCTAACAATTGGCACGCCTAGTGGGACCAAGTTGAGTTTATGTATGCAACTTCGTAGCAGTAAGGTGATCACCATGGAAAACAAGAATCAGAACTAAGGTATGAACATAGGTGCATGAAACACTGGAATAGGAACACCAGTTCACCCAAATGGAAGCCGCACCCCAAGGCTCAGAAAAGAAGAAGAATCATCATCAATTGAAACGATGGTGGATATGGTACGCAGAGAAGTGAATCAATGTATTCAGGCTGGAATCGAGGATATCGCATACAAAATCTCTAGGCAATTGGCCAACTGTAAGAAATGAAGCATTTCAGATTCGCGAAGAAGAACGTCGAGCAGCGGGTAGTGGAGTTTAGAATTCTGAAATTTCAGGAACTATACATGGAGGTCCGAGAGGAATAGCTCCATCTGGTGGAGGGAATCCATCCCTCATAGGGAATTTCGACTCAAGCTTAGGTCGTGGAAATGCTAAATCGCCCAGGGGGCCGACGGGTGGAGCAGGATTGCAGTTTGGCAATGTAACGATTCTCCCACGCCCACAAGGACGGCAGACCAGTGGAGGCTTTGGCCCTCAGATGGTGGGAGGACCGGATGTCGTTGGAAGCGGTGTTTACGGAACCCATATAGGGACAACATTGTCGGGTAGTTCACAGGTCAGCCTACATGGAACGCACCTTCACAGCCATGAGTTCGGCAGGCTCCATATGCCGTTGTCCCTCATGGAGGAATGGCTGGCCAAGCTTGGGTACCAGGAGGGCAGCCGTTGATTCCTAATCAGCAGGATGCCCAACCATTGATAGACACCGACATATTAGTGGAAAGTATACGAAGGGCTTTTCCACGAATGAAATTTTAAGAGCGACCGGTGTATCAAAGACCTTATCCAACTTGGGTAAGTAAGATGATGTCGTTGCCTGTTCGAAATAAAGCACCAGATTTTACATTGTTCTTGGGCAAAGATGGAAGATCAACGATAGAGCATATTGGGAAATTTATAGCTAAATGCGGAGACTTGGGAGGACATTACTAGTATTGTTTGCAATTATTTTCTTTATCTCTAACGAGTACTACATTTTCGTGGTATACGTCATTGGCCCCAGGTACCGTGCAGT